GTGTGTGTGTGTGTGTGTGTGTGTGTGTGTGTGTGTGTGTGTGTGTGTGTGCGCATACATATACACACATACTCATACTTCTGTATAGGTGTGTGTGTGTGTACATGTGTGTATATATACACACATGCATGTAGGTATGCACATGCAATACATAAAAATAACACACGTACAAAATAATAGATATTCAAATATCAGTAGATGTGTTTACATCCATATAATGCACATATAATGCGACCTTGAAAACTAAATTGTGAGCTGTGTATATTAATGAAGGCATCCTCATGATATCGGGGTCCCCTACATCTGCTACACAATATAGATAATACACATGTATGCTTTATGATAGTGTTTGTGTATGGGTGTTTACAGTGCATGCTTTTGTTTTTTCACATGAAAAAGATCCCTCAATGCTGGTTAGAAAGAGTAGATGAAAACCTTACATTTTGCACTAAAGGCATGTTTCAAATGCAGGTCAAACTTTATATGTCAGCTGATCACTGTAGCTCGTTTTTATACTCATTTTTTTGGGGGCGAGGGGTGCAGGCTGGCAAAGGTTTACAAGCAGCTGGGTTTATTAAGAAATATTTTACTTCTTGTTGAACTACCAAAGCAGGGGCTGAGTTTCCAATCGAACCCTGCGGTGAGTTCAGAACGGTGACTTGACAGATACGTTTATTGTTAAAACCTCAGCATCCAGTGATAAGGCTATATCCGCTATGCGGTGTGCGTATATACATGAGATCAAGGGAAGAGCAGACAGACTCTCGGCCCACCTTTGGGATCATAAATCACATACAAGTAATTGAATAACCACAGTGGTTGTGGTGGTGTGGGTGCGGTGGGACAGGGAGGCAGGCTAGGAAGTAAAATGATAACAGGCATTTACATAGCAAACAATGCAGGAAGGGACAAACAGGTTGTCTCCAAATCCACTGGACCTCCAATGCCCCAGTAGAAACCCCTTGACATAAGTAATCTGCTGGTGATTTATTTTAATAGTTTTACAATGCACATTTTGTCTTCTTTTTAATATTGCAGGTTTCCGTTTAATGAAGCAGCTGAGAGGCATGAGTGTGTATGAGTGTGTACTTCCTACGGTGCTGTCTGGTACGCTCACTGCGGCTCAGCACACTTGCCCCAAGAACTGCAGGTGTGATAGCAAAATTGTGTACTGTGAATCTCACGCATTCAGAGAGATCCCTCGGAATATTTCTGGAGGATCTCAAGGCTTATTGCTGTGCTACAACAGCATCCAGAAGGTTAAATCAAATCAGTTTTGGGGCCTGTATCAGCTCATCTGGCTTTATCTTGACCATAATTACATCAGGTCTGTGCCTGAGGATGCGTTTCAGGGGATCCAAAGGCTGAAGGAACTAATTCTAAACTCCAACAAAATTACTCATCTGCACAACAAAGCATTTCACCTGGTCCCCAATGTCTGCAACCTGGACCTTTCTTACAACAAGCTGCAGGTGTTACGATCAGAGCAGTTTAAGGGCCTTTGCAAGCTCTTGTTCTTGCACTTGTGGTCCAACTCGCTGAAAATGGGACCAGTCCAAGTTTTTCAAGATTGCCAGAACCTTGATTTTCTGGATTTGGGCTACAACCATGTGCGGAGTCTGTCCCACAATGCTTTTGCTGGCCTCCTGCAGTTAACAGAGCTCCATCTAGAGCACAACTAGTTTTCTAAAATCAGCTTGGCCCACTTCCCACGCCTCTTCAAACTTCTATCCATTTATTTGCAGTGGAATAGGATCCGGTCTGCTAGCCCAGGGTTACGTGGACTTGGAGCTCCTTGGACAACTTGGATTTATCGGGGAATGACAAGACGTGAATAGAACCCGGGACGTTCCGCCACCTGCACAAGCTGAACCTGGATGCAGATAAACTCACCAGCATCTCTCAGGAGACCATCAATTCATGGCTTTCACTAATATAAATCTCTCTGTCCAGAAATCTGTGGGAATGTACTCTGAAAGATCATACCAGGCACCTAAAACGCCCCGGAGGCCACTTTTTATTCCCAAACCTACCCTTTCTAAACTGGAAGGTAATCAGCCAACCTCCGTTATGCCAAGTCCTTCTCCGGACATGCCGGCACCTGGAGTGGAACCGGAGTACAAGCGTGTTTCCTTTCACAAAATTGTTGCTGGGAGCATGGCCCTCTTTCTTTCAGTGGCTATGATTTTGCTGGTTATCTCCGTGTCATGGAAGTGCCACCCAGCCAGCGTGAAACAACTCCAGCAGCACTCTCTTATGAAGAG